TCATGGCCCACTCTTTCAACAGGTTTCTTCAGCTCAAATCTTTCAGCATCCTACTAAGCACAAAGAAATTTCCTCCACAACTAGAATGTCTCACATGCTCTGCAATTAAATTTCAAGTGCAATTAACTCTTGGCTTTGTTTTTTGCTTTGCAGAAAGAGGTGAAGACTTCTATTATTGTGTACAAGTGAAAAGAATGTCTTGTTTTGTTTTGCTTTGTTTTGAGACAAGGTCTTGCTATGCAGTTCAGACTGGCCTTGAACTCACTAATGTAGCCCAGGCTGCCCTTGAAGTTGAACTTGAGGTAATCCTCTGCCTTAGCTGGAATTATAGGTGTCACCGACATGCCCCACCTTGAAAAGAATGTCTTAATTTCAGGATGGAGAAGGTAAGTTATGGAATCTTCAATCTTAGACCTCTTGCTTTTTTTAATTTGAAGGATTCAAAGCCATGGTCAGCAAAACACACATTTTCTAGCTTGTTATTCATGCTATTTTAAAGTCATTTAATCTTTTCTAAAGTGATATCTGCATCTCAAAAGGAAATTGAAGTCCTCAAGGAAAGCAAAGTTCTGTAGGAAACACAACTTGCAGTTAGGAAAATACCACTAAAGTATATCTATCACCTAATATTGTTTCCTAAGAGAAGACACAAGTTGTGAGCATTTTAAATAAGCCTGTGACCTAGGATTTAATATGATAATAAAAGCAGCTAATGTTTGGGTGTGACCATTTGCTACGCCTTTGTGTACTTCAAACCAATTAAATCTTTTAATTCCTGTTTTATAGCAGTGCAATTCTAGAGCAAGTGAACTTTAGAGTAGAAAATTAATAAAAGCAAATGCTAAAATTCTGTCAAAAAATGAAAAAAAAAAGTCTTTTGAACGAGTACAGGCTTCCAGGCAGACTAATTAAAGGATGATAGCATAAAAATTTAATAAACTGAGAATAATCGAAAGTGCATAAAGCTTCAAATCCACTCTAATGTTTGAACGATGAGGAACTGGAAGCTGCTTTGCTAGGTAATCGCCATGAACTCTCTTCTGTAGCTTGTTAGGAAGGACTTTGTATTTAATGAATGAGGGTATGGAGGAAGCATTGTGAATGTCTTGGTAGTAGAGCAGGGGTTATAAACCACCACCCTGTCTTCAGGAGACATTTTCAAAGATCAAGGCTGGTGGGTGTGTGTGCAATAACTGTCTAGTGGGCAAAGGGCCAGGATGAAACTAAACATCCAAATGCACAGGACAACCCCCACAACAAAGAATCATACAGCCCAAAATATCAATAATGCTGAGGGTGAGAAACCTCAGAGCACTGCACCAAGATTTCACAAGGCCAAAATGAATTGGTGAAGTCTGAACTATAATCTCTTTAAATTTAATTTTTACATAGTTATAGTAATGCTAACCATATGTAGCATGGTGCCTTCAGCAACTAATCATTACCATCACTTTGGGAGTGTGTTGTTGCCATGTGTTATAAGCCTGCTCCTACTGACTTCAAAAAAATAATTTGTTCCATTTAGTACACTGAAGACTGCCTCTATAATTGTGCCAAAACCTTACATTCACTTAAACTCTTTGCACTCAGCATTCTGCTATATAGCAGGCCTCAGGGAGACAGAACAAAAACAATAATGCCAAGACCAAGAAAAGGAAAAAAATAATCAAAACCAAAACCTACTGACTGTGGCCTCAGGAAATCTGCAGTCTAGAGTGAAGACAAGTGAATAATTTAAAAGCTTACAGGATAACAGGAAAGCTATAAACACAGGCATGGGGCCCGATTAACACAGGGAGTGAGTGAGAAAGAATGTTTCCATAAAGAAGTAGTATCAAAGCTCAATCTTACCAGAGTCAGTAAAGAAGTTGGGGACTGGGCTTTGGGTAGATGAAGTTGCTGATATAAAGATGCTATCTGTGTTCTTAGCTGTGTCTTTGATAACAGCAACAGAGACAAAAATAGCAAGCAACATTTTGTGGAGCAAAAACCAGTAGGCTGGCACTCTTCTGAACTCAGTGAATCCTCCAGAAGGCCTGTAGGTTCAGTACCGTTATTAGCCTCGTTTTACATAAGTAAGCTGGGGCATGGTGTGGCAAGTGACTTGCACAGGGTCACACAACTAGAGACTGGTGGTTAGGATTCAAGTTCAATCTGGCTTTTAACCATTACCTTATACTACTTGAAGAGCCAGAGATATGAATGCTGACTTAAAGAAGGTTTGTGAGGTAACAGATTAGCCAGAATTAATCTCAGATGCATAGTATATCAACTGAGTGGAAGCCATGTGCCTGGTAAACCATGTTTTGAAGGTAAAGGTCAAACTTCTAACCATGGATTACCAAAACCCTGCCTGCTCAGTACCTCATACATGGATTACCTCTAGCCTAATCCTTCTTAATCTCAACTTTGGGATGTGTAGTCCTTTCAAGTGTTTCCAGATCTAGATTACCTCTGCCAGGGTCTTCCCTCTCTTTTTAAAACTGCAGTCTTGCAAAGATAGAGCTCTCTGAAGGCCTTCAAAGCCCTCTAGCAAAGCTAGAGGCCCCTGAAGCACCTCCTTACCAACAGAGGTGGAGCCACAGAGTAGAGTAAGCCCTTTAAACAAAGTCCTTACCTGAGGTAACATCCAGCCCACATTTTCACACATACCTGGAGAATCTGATAAACAGCCTCCAGCAGAGCTCTGACCCACACATCCACCACGTCACCAACAAGACAGTCCTCTTTAGAATGAGAATGTTCCAGAATCAGCTGAGTTCCCCGGCCCTGAAGGTATCTGGTTTCTTCTAGCTTTAAGGGTCTATAATTCCAAACCTCATGACTCCTAGGAAGATGTCATAGTAGCTAAAAGCACAAGCCTGGCTGGGTGGCTTTGAGTAAGTCATTTAACTTCTCTGAGTTTGGGGTTTAAATAATAATAGCTTTACTTACCAGGTCATATGACATAATAGCAAAGTATTTGGCATACGAGGTCCTCAATAAATGTTTATTTTGATTATTAAGAAATGAATAATTTATGGAAAAAATAGACTATGATAAGATGCATGCAAAACAGGTTATACACCAAGCTTTCACTAGAAGGAAATTTCATATTTTATACACATAATTTTCAAAATAACTTTTACTACTGGCCTATATCTTTTGTAAGATTTTTAAAATAGCAATACAAAACTTCCATGAGTACTTCTTACTTTCTCCTTCAAAAATATCACTGACAATCAGTTATCTCCTATTTGAAAGGGAATGAGAAGGAATGAAATCCCGTAAGTGACTGAATCAAGTTACTGAGTTAAGATACTACAGGGATGGAGAAACGCTTTGTCAAGGGGCTGGCCCCAATATTCCTGGTAAAAAATAGATTCCATCAAGGTAACCAGGCTCCTGAGATTGTGCCTGATCTGGGCAGCATAGCTCTGTGGGAAAAAAATAATTTTTCTTTCCATACATTTAATTGGCTTGTGTTAAACCTTGCTCTGTATCTAAGTTTTGGTGTTATCTCAAGAAAAATACCCCTGTAAGGAGATCAATGATAAGATGGCCTTCTGCTTCTTTACAAAGAAAAGAAAAAGAAAATAAAACAAAGCATGAAAACTTATTTACTACTTATTTTGTGGTAAAAAAAATTTCTTTGGGGAAGGTTCAAAGCAGCTGCCTAGGCCTCAGGCCTGCCCTGCCCTAGTAGCACCTTGGCTGCCACCCTAGTCAGAGTCCTGGGGGAGCCTGAGCCCTCCAGGCACTAAGGCGTTCCCAGAGTTCCCAATCCCTCATCAAGGGACCGAGAGGACCCTTTGATTGTCTAGAAGCCACAGGCGGGGTTCTGCCTCTGTGCAGGACACTCATTCTGAACCACACCCGGAAAATGTGAGTTTTCTCCTGTTCTCAGTGCTATATATTTGCTCCATTAGCGTCTCAGCAAATGCCATGTGTCCCTGGGCCAGAATTCAAGTCTGATTCATCTTGGTGTGCTCTGAGCCTGGCACAGAGAGGTAGCTCAAGAAGTGAGCCAGCTAACAGTGTGCCAGCTTAAGACACAACCTTATTCACCCTTTCTCACACCCTCCGACTTTGTCTCCTTTTCTTTCCAAGCCACGCTGGTCTTTCCCTCTGCTCTCAAATAGACATGTCAGATGCTTCTTTAAGGGCAAGCGAGTCCTTTATAAAGTCTGAGGATAACTTTTATTTAAAGACTGTCAGCAAGATGGAGAATATCACTACCTGGCCTGTGAAAGTGGTAGAAGGAAGAATTTTTTAAAAGGACGAACTACAAAGAAAAGGCGATTTCTATAGGGAAGCAGGTATACCTGTGTTATGTCCCTGACTGTGCAGTCTTAATTAGCAGAGGTACTTTTTAAGTAACAAGTAATGAAAAGGCCACAGACACTATCTCCCCAGGCCAGGGAGTGAAGATGGAGTGGCCTAGCCTGGCAACTCCTGGAAGAAAATGTCAGAGGGCCCTGTTCTTACAGTCACCCCACACTGGGAAATGCGCCACCAGAAGACACCCACCCTCTTGCTCCCAGGCTCAGCTTCCCAGTACAGTATGGCAGGCATAGAGGGATAAGCCACCTAGAGGCGATTTTAGGACACCACCCCGCGTCCACGCCCTGCCCCCCAGGCTTGTAAGGGCGGCGCCCAGGCACTCCGGGACAGGGTTAGACCGCTTCCCTCTCGTTTGTAAAAGACCCAGGCGCTACAAATATCTCCCCAGTTACACCTTATTCCGGAACAGGGGGGAGAGAAGTAGTTTTTCTCGCCCCAGCTTGCAACACTTCCCCCAGCCCCTTCTTTCCTTGGGCCCCTCAACGTCTCGGCCCTGGGTGCAGGAAGAGAAGGGAACCACGACAGCTGTGGCCTCGCCCTAAGAACAAGTTGCCACCGGCTTGCAGAATTGCCGGGGCGGTCGCTGAGCGCGGACAGACGGAATCTCCGCATCCGGGGTCTCGCCCTCCAGCCCTCTCCGTGCTGACCCCAGAGCAGTGGCCCCATCACTCACTCACCCCACGACAGAGATCATCATGGCAGCCACCACCAGGTAGTTGGTCTGGTAATAGAGCAGATTGCTCACGACACGGTTGTTCCATTTGGAAATGTCCCTGAAGTCTGGCCGAGCGAAGCGGTCAGAACCCGGAAAGAAATCGTCCCAGGCGCGGAGTGGGGCGACCGTCACGTCCATGTTTCTTAGCTTTGCCTTCTTCGCCTCCGGAATCCGGAGGCGGAGGCGGCGGCGGCGGCGGCAACCGAGCTGGAGGAAGAGATGACAGACGCTCTCGTCTCGATCGGCTTTGAGGTTGGTGGGCAGCGAGCAAAGGGAATCGGGAGCGGGAGGGCGTGTTTGTTCTTCTCGCTTCTTGATTGGCTCGAAGTGTCTGGTTATAGGAAATCGGGTTGCAACCGAGCGAGGGACCGAAGGCAGAACCGAAATGAAATGAAAGAGAACAACCCAGTAAAGAAAAAAAAAAAAAAAAAAAAAAAGGCAACCAGCGGACATTGCCTGTCTGAAGGGAGGTGGCTGAACCTTCCCTAGCAACAAACTGTCCCTTTTTAAATCCTCTTTTTGAACGTATAACCAAAGAGCGTGTTCTGTGCCTTAGAGAGAAAAAATTGGCAGCTGTTCAGATGCCAATCTAAGTGGAATGGAAGACGACCATAGTGTTACTACAGGATGAGCTGGTTTTGAAAATTCAGTATTACTAACCTCTGTGTATCTGAACGCGATCCTCATGTTTTCTGTCTTTCACCTTGAGTCATTGTGCGTGAAATCAGGTTGGCAAAGGGGAAAGGAGAACGGGTAGAAAGGAAGGGCCAGTTTGTTCAGTTCACTCTTCTATGTTTTCCATCTCTGTTCTCTTGTGAGCAAATTACCGAACTATTGTGACAGTCTAATAAAACGACTCTGGCCAATTTCAGCCCTCTTGCTGAGCATGTTGTTGACATTTAAACAATTGACTGCCTTGAACCAATTGTTCTGGACTCAAGCATTTCCTGGGCAGAAACATGGATTTCACTCCAAAAAAAACTTTCATAGTTTTATCCCTGTGGGCTGGGGCAGTATTTGGCAAAAAATTTTAATAAGGGAGCACAGTATTTTAATAGATGTTTTGTATCTCAACCTGAAGAAATGGCAAGTGAGGTATTAGTTGTAAATTCTCTTCTAAGGTCTCAAAAGATCATTATTTTTAGTTAAACCTTTTATATCAAATATATGAGAAAGAGTACAAGCTTCTCTCTATATCTGTGGGGGAATTAAGATTAAGGACACCTTTCCCCACCCCCACACCAGAATCTGTAGATGCTTAAGTCCTTTATTTAAAATGATGTAGTGTTTACATATACTCTGTATGGTTTAGATCATCTCTGTGCGACTTATAATACCTAATACAAGGTAAATGCTATGTAGATGGTTGTTATGCTATATCACTTATGGAATAATGACCAAAAAAAGCACATGTGCATAACATAAAATTTTAAAAAATAATTGCCATCAGTGATTGCTTGAATCTGTGTATTGGTGTGGGCAGATTGTATTTTGATTAGTTTTATAATGTGGTAGGCAGGATTCTAAGACAATAATGTCCAAGGTAACAGTCTCTAAACCTGCAAGTGGTACTGTATTAACACAATAAATTTACCCTACTGAGATGAGCAAGTTTCAAAAAATTGGAAAACAATCAAATATACTTAATACAAAGTCTAGAAGACCTAAGTCAGTTTTCCTTGATGATTCTGAAGGCAGCTAACGAATTTATAGGGATTCTAATAAATGACTACTGCTACTGATGTTTAGGAAAGTTTAGTAATTGAACCGAACAGTGCTAAAATGTACCTTTGGTGCTGTTTTTGAATAGAGTTGTATAATGTGAAAAATGTTCTGTGCTCTCACATTTTCTTCCTCCTGAAAGAAGGGGAGGGGTTGAAGTTACAGAAAGCAAAATTGGAGTTCCAGATCTTCCCTCTCTAGCAGATGACTTTGGGAGAAATTATTTAATCTCTTCCAGTTTCAGTTTCTTTAAATGGGAACTGAGCATAACAGAACACCTGCCACATAGGTGAGGACAAATGAAGGAATGTTGTGGAAAGTGCTTAGTGTATAATCAGTGCTCACAGTTAGACTTCACTGTTATTAATAACAGTACAGTCCATGACTCATCTGGATGATATTAATAAGGGTTTAGCTTTCTCTGCTTTCATAATAAACATCCTTTAACTTTTCTGTATCATTCTGTTATTTTATTTCTGTGGTTGCATCTAGACAGATATGACAGGGGAGAAAATGTTGAAACTATTCAGTAAAATGCCAATAGATATCCTGAATCCTTTTAAGCCTCTGTGAAAACACTGTGAAGGATTTAAAAAAAGGAGGGAAGCTGGGTGTGGTGGTGCACATCTTAATTCCAGCACTCGGGAGGCTGAGTGAGGATGGTCACAGTGGGTTCAAGGCCAGCCTGGGCTGCATAGTGAGATCAAGGTCACCCTGAACTACCTAGTGAAACCCTGTCTCAAAAAACAAAAACAACAAAATAAGAATACAAAAGGGAGGGTGGAGAAGGATTCAGCCATGTCCTGCCTTCAAGGATCCTGCAATGCAAGAAATACTAGTTAAATTTAAGACAATGAGAGATGTACCAGGCCCCGTGCTCAGTTGCAGGTAATCAGAGGGTATGGAGGAACTCCCCCAGGGAATAGGAATTTTAAGATAGAGCAGTGAGGGGAAGCTGAGTAAATGATCTTGGCAAATACAGGGTGGGACCCCTATTGGCCCCTATACCTGTTGGACATCTGTGAACGTTAAAAGTTGTGACCAAGAGCCTTCACTTTCTAACTGCTCAGAACTGCATGCACAGAAGCTGTCAAGTGGGTATTAGTAACAATATTATTACTCATTGATTACAGGCAATTGGTATCCAGTAAACATTTGTTCAGTGAATTTTTATTTACTTGCTTAAACCTCCAAAGAGATTTAAAAAAGAATGAAAAAGATAAAACTGTTGGTAGCATGATTCTTTTCTGCTCCTCTTACAAAATATTAACCGTGCTTCTTTTTTCTTTGGTTGGAATGTGGAATTTTTTTTTTTAAAGAAACACATTTCTATTTTTTCATTAAATCATTTTAAATGAAAATGAATACATATTGAATCTTTGTCCTGGTCATGGTTTGAAAGCAATTGGTAGTAGTTTCTTGTTGGGACTGCATAACTCTGTAATCATAAAACTCCCCTAGCCCCAACTGTGATTGAATGTGAGTAAATAGATAAAGATGCTTGTTAGTTCCGGGACACTAGATAAGATCTGTATCAGCCATAAGGTCCCAAAGTAAATTACTCAACTCTTTGTTCTAAACTGATGTTCCAGACACCACTATCTATAGAACAATCTACAAACATCTGCTGACCATCAGTACGTGTCAGCTGACCA